TTAATCGACTGACTTCCTGTTAAAGAACATTAATATTTAGCTTTAGCTCCAGTCTTGGGACTAAAGAGAAAGAAAAAAAGTTAGCTTTGTTATACCCTTTCCTACACACACACACACACACACACATAACACCATCCTCCCAAATTGATTATAGCACAAATTTGGATTAAATCTATATTTGGGGCCAGGCATGGACTCCCACCTGTAATCCCAGCACTTTTGATCACCTGAGGTCAGGAGTTTGAAATGAGCCTGGCAAACATGGTGAAACCCTGTCTCTATTAAAACTACAAAAAAACAAAAATTGGCCGGGCTTGGTGGCGCATGCCTGTAGTCCCAGCTACTCAGGAGGCTGAGTCAGGAGAATTGCTTGAATCTGGGAGGTAGAGGTTGCAGTGAGCTGTGATTGTGCCATTACACTCCACCGTGGGCAACAGAGTGAGGCTCCATTTCAAATAATAATAATAAATATAATCTGTATCTGATTAAACATATTGGGTAAACTCTAACTTTGGTTTTAACTTTCCTTGGTTATTCTTCTCTCAGAGAACATCTGGTCATCTAATATACTTATTATTTTAAGACAGGGTTTCACCATCTTGCTCAGGCTGGTCTTGAACTCCTGACCTTGTGGTCCACCCACCTCGGCCTCCCAAATTGCTAGGATTACATATCTGAGCCACCACGCCCGGCCAAACATTCTTTATACACTGTATTAGTTTCCCAGGGCTGCCATTTTTAATGACCACAAAATTGATGAATTAAGACAAATTTATTCTCTCACAGCTCTGGAAACAAGTCTGAAATCAGGGTATCTGCAGGGCAGTGTGTTCCCTCCAGACTATAAGAAGAATCCATCCTTGCCTTTTCCAGTTCTGGTGGCTCCAGGCATTTAGTGGTTTTTGATTGCATGACTCCAATCTCATCTTCCATCTTTTTTTTTTTTTTTTTTTTGAGACGGAGTTTCGCTCTTGTTACCCAGGCTGGAGTGCAATGGCGCAATCTCGGCTCACCGCAACCTCCGCCCCCTGGGTTCAGGCAATTCTCCTGCCTCAGCCTCCTGAGTAGCTGGGATTACAGGCACGCACCACCGTGCCCAGCTAATTTTTTGTAATTTTTAGTAGAGACGGGGTTTCACCATGTTGACCAGGATGGTCTCGATCTGTTGACCTTGTGATCCACCCGCCTCGGCCTCCCAAAGTGCTGGGATTACAGGCTTGAGCCACCGCGCCCGGCCCTTCATCTTCCATCTTTATGTTGCCTTCTCTTCTCTGTATTTTCTCTTCTCTTAAGAGGACAGTTGGCAATGGGTTTAGGGCCACTCAGATAATACAGGATGATCTCATCTCATCTCAGCATCCTAATTATACCTCCAGAGACCTTTTTCCAAATAAGGTCACATTGATAGGTTCCAGGGATTAGGACAAAGACTTAACTTTTGGAGGGCTACCATTCAGCCCACTAAACAGACTGTAAATGAGTCTTCCCGTTTTCAGCATCATTCCTGTCACTGACTCAGGGAGAGTTTTCTGGAGCCTGGCAGAAGCGGCTCGCTTGAGTCATTGACCGTCTTCTTAATTCAGTGAAGGCCTATTTTCAGCTATTGCTCCTCCTCTCTAAAACCGTCTTCTCGTGCCGTTCTGAGTTAGCCACTATTACTGAACATTCCTTTCCAGTCTCACCTTCTGGGATGCTGTTTGGGCTTTCCCATTCCTTGTTTTTAGATCCATTCCTTTTCCATTCTATGGCCACCGTGATGATCGTCACAGCAGCAAATATTTGAGGAATTTATACTTCTTAAATATAAATACTGGATACTTAAATCTAGATAGAGGCAGGAATTTTTTATTAATATATTCCTTTCATTCTCCTCTGTGCCAGCATATAGACACTTTTTAACACTTTAACTTGCCATTTTACACATCATAAAATTCACCTGCTCTAAGTGTACAATTTCTTGATTTTTGTTAAAGTTACAGAATTATGCAGTCTTTACCACTATCTAATTTTAGAAATTTCCATCACTCCCAAAAGATCATTCATGCTCATTTATAGTAAATTCTTACTTTCACCTTCAGCCCTGGGCAATTTGTTCTAGTGCTTAAATCTATAGATTTGTATTTTCCAGACCTTTTATAGAAATGGAATTATAAAATATGTGGTCTTTTGCATCTGCTTTCTTTCTCCCAACAAAATGTTTTTGAGACTCATCTACATTGTAGCATGTATTAGTAGTTTATTCTTTTTTATTGCTGACGAGAGTTTAATCGTATATCAGTATAGCTCTTTGTTTATCATTCACCAGTTGATTAACATTTGTTTTTGAGATGGAGTCTCCCTCTGTCACCCAGGCTGGAGTGCAGTGACACGATCTTGATTCACTGCAACCTCCACCTCCCGGGTTCAAATGATTCTCCTGCCTCAGTCTCTCGAGTAACTGAGACAACAGGCGCACGCCACCATGCCTGGCTAATGTTTTGTATTTTTAGTAGAGACAGGCTTTCACTGTGGTAGCCAGGATAGTCTCGATCTCCTGACCTCATGATCCACCTGCCTTGGCCTCCCAAGTGTTGGGATTACAGGCGTGAGCCACTGTGCCTGGCCAGTTTTTTGCTGTTATGAATAATGCTACTATGAACATATGTAAATACATATGATTCTTTTTGTGAACATATGTTTTTATTTCTCTTCAGTAGATTCCTGGGAATGGAATCCCTGAGTCATAGGGTAAAATTACGTTTAATTTTTAAAGAAACTTCTACATTATTTTTCAAAGTGGTTGCACCATTTTACTTTCCCACCAACAGTGGATAAGCATTCCAGTTTCTCTATGTCCTTACCAATACTTCTTACTCTGTGGGTGTGAAGTGAGAGCCATCTACTTGTGAGAGTATCTGAAGAAGACACTAAAGACATACCTCACTTCATTGCATTTTGATTTATTGTGCTTTTTTATAAATTGAAGGCTTGTGACAACCTTCTGTCAAGCAAGTTGATGGCACCATTTTTCCAATAGCTTGTGCTCACTTCCTGTCTCTGTCACATTTTGGCGATTCTTACGGTATTTTAAACTTTTTAATTATTATATCTGTTATGGTAACCTGTGATCAAGGATCTTTGATGTTGCCGTTCTAATTGTTTTGATGCCCCACGAACTATGCCCATATAAGATGTCAAACTTCATTGATAAATTTGCATGTGTTCTGACAGGTTGATATAATTGATAGAATTATCAACCAGCTGTTTCTCTGTCTTTCTCTGTCTCCTTAGGCCTCCCTATTCCCTGAGACACAATAAAACTGAAACCAGCCAATTAGTAACTCTACAGTGGCCTCTGGGTATTTGAGTGAAAGGAAGGTCTCTTATTTTAAATCAAAAGCTAGAAATGATTAAGCTCAATGAGTAAGGCATGTCAGAAGCCAAGATAAGTTGAAAGCTAGGCCTCTTGTGCCAAACTGTCAAGTTTTAAATACAAAGAAAAAGTTCTTGAAGGCAATGAAAAGTACTATCCCAGTGAACACATGAACTATAAGAAAGTGAAACAGTCTTGTTCGCTGATAGGGAGAAAGTTCTGAGTGGTCTGGGTAAATGATCAAACCAGGTACATCATTCCCTTAAGCCAAAGCCTATTTCAGAGCAAGGCCCTAGCTCTCTTCAACTCTTTGAAGGCTGATAGAGGTGAGGAAGCTACATAACAGAAGTTTGAGGCTAGCAGAGGTTGGTTCATGAGGTTGAAGGAAAGGAAGCCATAATAACATAAAAGTGCAGGGTGAAGCAGCAAATGCTGATGTAGAAGCTGCAGCGAATTATTCTGAAGATATAGCTAAGGTAATTGAGGAAAGCCTTATATTGGAAGAAGATACCATCCAGATATCTAGAAGTCCATACCTTGCTTGTTAGCAGGTAATGCAGCTGGTGACTTCAAGTTGAGGCCAGTGCTCATTTACCATTCTGAAAATCCTAGGGTCCTTAAGAATTATTCTAAATCTGCTCTGCTTGTGCTGTATATGGAACAACAAAGCCTGACAATACAACTATTTACAGCATCGTCTACTGAATATTTTAAGCCCACTGGTGAGGCCTACTGCTCAGAAAAAAGATGCCTTTCAAAATATATGCTTGTAGACAATGTACCTGCTCATCCAAGAGCTCTGATGGACATGTACAAGGAAATTGAGGGTTTTTTTTGAGATGGAGTGTCACTCTGTCACCCAGGCTGGAGTGCAGTGGGACAATCTCAGCTTACTACAACCTCTGCCTCCCAGCCTCCCAGGTTCAAACAGTTCTCCTGCCTCAACCTCCTGAGTAGCTGGGATTACAGGCACATGCCAACAGGCCCAGCTAATTTTAAGTAGAGATGGGGTCTCACCATGTTAGCCAGGCTGGTCTCAAACTCCTGACCTCAGGTGATCTGCCTGCCTCGGCCTCTCAGAGTTCTGGGATTATAGGCATGAGCCAATGCGCCCAGCCTAGACTGAGGTTACTTTCATGTCTGCTAACATAGCATCCATGCGGTAGCCCATGGATCAAGAAGTAATTTTGACTTGTGAGTCTTATTATTTAAGAAATTCATTTCATAAGGCTATAGTTGCCATACATAGTATTCCTGTGATGGATCTGAGCAAAGGTAAATTGAAAACCTTCTGGAAAGGATTCATCATTTTATAAGAACATTCATGTAGCCAGGCGCGGTGGCTTACGCCTGTAATCTCAGCACTTTGGGAGGCCGAGACCGGCAGATCACCTGAGGTTGGGAGTTCAAGACCCAGCCTGACCAACATGGAGAAAGACCATCTCTACTAAAAATACAAAATCAGCCAGGCATGGTGTATATGCCTGTAATCCCAGCTACTTGGGGGGCTGAGGCCAGAGAATTGCTTGAACTCAGGAGGCAGAGGTTGCAGTGAGCTGAGATTGCGCCATTGCACTCCAGCTTGGGCATCACAAGCGTAACTCTGTCTCCAAAAAAAAAAAAAAAAAAAAAAAAAAAGAACATTCATGTCCTTTGGCAGCACATATACTAAAATTGGAATGACAGACAATTAATTAGCATGGCCCCTGTACAGGGATGATAGTCAAATTCATGAAGCATTCCATATATTTTTTTAAAACATTCATGATTCATAAGAGGATATCAAAATATTGCCATTTACAACAGTTTGGAAGAAGCTACTTCCAGCCGTCATAGGTAACTTTGAGATGTTCAAATAGTTTAGTGGAGGAAGTAACTGCAGATGTTGGTAGAAATAGCAAGAGAACTAGAACTAGAAGTGGAGCCTGAAGATGGGAATGAATTGCTGCCATCTCATGAGAAAACTTGAATGGATGAATAGTTGCTTCTTATGGATAGGCAAAGAAAGTAGTTTCTCGAACTGGAATCTACTGGTAAAGAGGCAGTGAACATGGTTGAAATTACAACAGGATTTAGAATATTCTATGAATTTAGTTGACAAAGCAACAGCAGGATTTCAGAGCATTGACTCTAGCTTTGAAAGCAGTTCCATGGTTAAACTGCTATACAGCATTGCATGCTACAAAGAAATCTTTTGTAAAAAGAAGTCAGTCAGTGGGCAAACTATTGTTAGCTTAAGAGGCCGCTGCAGCTGCTCAGTCCTCAGCAGCCATAACCCTCATCTGTCGGCAGCCATTAACATCAAGGCAAGATCTACCAGCGAAAAAATTGCAGTTCACTAAAAGTTCAGATGATTTTTAGCATATTTTAGCAATAGAGTATTTTTAAATTAAGGTATATACATTGGTTTTTTTGCTAGCCATTATGCTGTTGCACTCCTAATAGACAACAGTGTAGTGTTAAGTATAACTTTCATATTTTCTGGGAAATCAGAAAATTCGTGTGACTCACTTTATTGCAATATTGGTGGTCTGGAATCGAACCTGCAATATCAAGGTATTTCTATGCTTAGGTGAAAGGATTGAGGCTGTCTGTTCGTTCTAACCAAACACCAGTCATTTACTTGTTGATACAGCCATTCAACATGTATTATTGGATTCAGCGGTCAACAATATCGGGAACACTATCCTTACTGTCTCAACCGGAAGATGATCAAACAAGCAATATTATAATAACTTAATCAAGAAAGCAGTATTTGCTGTGTGACACCTTGGCGAGAGTCCTGTGATAATTAATGAGTTATACACTGTTTTTGTTAGAGCAGGTCCCCTGTGTTAGTTTGCAAGTGACAAAATTCTGCTCCAGCCAACTTAGGCAGATTGGGGATTTAGTACCCATTGAGCTGGAGGTCTTTGGAAGCAGAGCTGTGCCTTTGTGTGAAGCCTTAACTTTTTCTCGATTGCAGAATACCAGCAGGGGCCCTTATACAGACCCCAAGGAGACCGTGGATAAAATCCATGAGCTTGTGAACTTCAGTGGGAGTGGTGGGGAAATCACTTGTTTTTGTTTTTGTTTTTTTTTTTACTAACCTCTACTAACATTTAGCATTTCTTCCTTTTATAAATGTAGAGAACAGATACAATGTTAACAGTACTTGTGTCTGGTGACCAATAAAAATCAGTTATTTTCATATCACATTGTAAATGTATATATCTCAAAATATTATTTTGTTCATCCCTGCTTCAAAATGATAACCATTATTAGACCTGCACCAAGGTCTTCTTATTGTATGAATGCAGAAGCACATTTGTCGTAATTTTGCTTTTTGAACAGTTTGATAACTGGATTTCATTATGGTTTCTGTTTCTTTTGTTAGTAATTTGAGTATTTTCAGTGTTAAGGTATTCTGAGATAAGATCTAAATGCATAGGGTCACCTGCTGTAGAAAAGATTGGGACTCCTTACTTGATGACAGTAAAAGATGTGATACTGTGAAAAAAAAAGATTGGGAACCCCTGCTTTTATGTTCTTCTGAGGTACCACACTATGTGTCCACTTCTGTTTCTTGCTACAATGCAGTTGTTTTCCCTCCATTTTTCCTTTCATCTGCTCAGACTACCTGCAGAGACTCAACTCCAGCCAATGTACTGCCACTCAAAATCCAAGGAGTTCTAGTTGGTGGGGTTTTTTTCCCAGCTACATTCATGTGTGGGTCAAGGCAGATGGTTTTTTGTTGTTGTTGTTGTTGTTTTTTGGTGGGGCGAGGGCAGGTGGTGGTTGGGGACAGAGTCTTGCTCTGCTGCCCAGGCAGGAGTACAGTGGCACGATCTCAGCTCATTGCAAACTCCACCTCCCAGGTTCAAGCAATTCTCCTGCTTCAGCCTCCTGAGTAGCTGGGACTACAGGTGTGCACCACCATGCCCAGCTAGCTTTTGTATTTTTAGTAGAGACAGAGTTTTGCCATGTTGGCCAGCCTGGTCTCAAACTCCTGACTTCAAATGATCCACCTGCCTTGGCCTCCCAAAGTGCTGGGATTACAGGCATGAACCATTGTTCCCAGCCCTCTGATTCATTTTAATTTTAATTTTTTTTTTTTTGAGACGGAGTTTCGCTGTTGTTACCCAGACTGGAGTGCAATGGCAGGATCTCGGCTCACCGCAACCTCCGCCTCTTGGGTTCAAGCAATTCTGCCTCAGCCTCCCGAGTAGCTGAGACTACAGGCGCACACCACCATGCCCAGCTAATTTTTGTATTTTTAGTAGAGACGAGATTTCACCTTGTTGACCAGGATGGTCTCGATCTCTTGACCTTGTGATCCACCTGCCTCGGCCTCCCAAAGTGCCGGGATTATAGGCGTGAGCCACTGCGCCCGGCCTGATTCATTTTTAATAACTGAAAGTCAAGGAGAGGGGACAACAAAATGTAAAAATTAGGATAGATATCATCTTTGGCTAAACAGTAACAGACACATTGGTTGAAAAAGTTTTGGAAGTAAATAATATTCTTGTTAACCTGGCACATAAGCTCTTAATAAACACTTTTTGATTATTTCTATTTCTTTTTCTTTTAAACAGAAATCATGTTGTTGATGTCAGTGTTGCAGTCAGTACCCCTGCAGGACTCATCACCCCTATTGTGTTTAATGCACATACGAAAGGACTGGAAACCATTGCTAATGATGTTATTTCTTTAGCAAGCAAAGCAAGAGAGGGTAAACTGCAGCCACACGAATTCCAGGTACAGTATTAATTATTGCTTTCTAATTACATTATTTTTAAGGTTTGCATAATGCATTTATTGCATTTTTCACCTTTTGATTCTGCCACATAATTATTTTTATTTTTTAATTTTTTGAGACAGCGTCTAACTCTTGTCATCTAGGCTGGAGTGCAGTGGTGTAATCTCGGCTCACTGCAACCTCCACCTCCCAGGTTCAAGTAATTCTCCTGCCTCAGCCTCCTGAGTAGCTGGGATTACAGGCACATGCCACCACACCTGGCTAATTTTTTTGTGTGTTTATTTTTAGCAGAGATGGGGTTTTGATCTGAAGAGAAACCAGAGTATTCATAGAAATAGGGTTTCACTGTGTTGGCCAGGCTGGTCTTGAACTCCTGACCTCAAATGATCCACCCACCTCAGCCTCCCAAAATGCTGGGATTACAGGTGTGGGCCACCACGCCTGGCCTGCCGTGTAATTCTTACTGACACACGGTTCTGAAAATAAAATCTCAAACTCTATTGCATATACAAAAGGAGACATTGTCTGATAATAAGACATTTTCCAGGTGACTTTTTTGTTCATATTGTAATGCTTGTATATTTTCAGTACTGTGTATCCCATTCAGGCCTTTCCTAAGACCTTGCACCTTTTTAGCTTAAAGTCTTTTCACAGAACATTTGTCATGTTTTCTGATTTATGTTGACAAACAGTGTAATCTATTTTTAATATTTTTTCCTCTAGGGCGGCACTTTTACGATCTCCAATCTAGGAATGTTTGGAATTAAGAATTTCTCTGCTATTATTAACCCACCTCAAGCATGTATTTTGGCAATTGGTGCTTCAGAGGATAAACTGGTTCCAGCAGATAATGAAAAAGGGTAAGTGCCAAACTGGAGGGGAAGTCATAAGCTAATTTTCATTACATTATACACTTGTCCTGTGGCATCTTCAGGATTGGCTCTAGGAACCCTCAAATACCACAGTTCACAATGCGTAAGTCCCTGACATCAGATGATGTAGTGTTTGCATATAACCTACACATCCTTCTGTATACTTTAATCTCTGCATATCATACAACACTGAATAGCACTTCATTCATGTGGATCCTCTAGTACCCAGGATGCAGCAAATTCAAGGTTTGCTTACTGGAAATTTGTGGAATTGTTTACTTTTCAGAAATTTGGGTCCATGGTCAGTTTATGGATTTGGAACCCATGGATAGATATATGGAGGGCCAACCATACCTATTTTTGAGTATCAGTGTTTTTGTTTGTTTGTTTGAGATGGAGTCTCAATCACTCTGTCACCCAGATGGGAGTGCAGTGGTGCCATCTCAGCTCACTGCAATCTCCACCTCCCAGGTTTAAGAAATTCTCTGGCCTCAGCCTCCTGAATAGTTGGGATTACAGGCATGCACTACCATGCTTTGGCTAATTTTTGTATTTTAGTAGACATGGGGTGGGGTTTCACCACGTTGGCCAGGCTGATCTTGAACTCCTGACCTCAAGTGATCTGCTCGCCTTGGCTTCCCAAACTGCTGGGATAACAGGAATGAGCCACCGTGCCCAGCCAGAGTTTCATTTTTTGAGGTGGAAAGCCTTTATCCTAGGTGAGGAGTCAGCATGCTTTTTCTTAGTCGTAAGTAAGTATTTTAGGCTTTCTGAGACATATGGCCTCTGTTGCATTGTCATGTGAAAGAAGGCATAAACAATACATAAATGAATTGCAGTAAACCTTTACTTATAAAAACTTAGAGGGCAGGATTTGGCTCATTGCCCACCTATACTGCAGGTATATGGTCTGTTTCTTCAAGCTATTAATTTGAGCTAAAGGTATAGGAGACTGGAAGAGTAGATACGAAATATTGCCTGGTTGGGATTTGAAGGTAAGAGTGAGCATTTGGGTGGTTACTGGCTGAAATGCAGTCTTTTCTTTCAGAATATCTAAAATGTTTTTATCTTTTTCCAGGTTCGATGTGGCTAGCATGATGTCTGTTACACTCAGTTGTGATCACCGGGTGGTGGATGGAGC